CACACACACACACACACACACACACACACACACACACACACGCAGAATGTGTTCCCACCCCACCTAGAGAAATTTGCACACCCCTCCTGAGATTTAAATGCTCAGTGTGATTGAAATAAGGAATTTTTTCTCAAAGTTTGTGTCGGCTGTATGTCAGCAGCCGACACATTAACACATAAAATACTATACTGACAGATTAACATATAAAAAACAAATCAAAATCAGGGGCGGCACTAGCCCTGGAGGGGGGGGGTGTCAAAAAAGGTTTCGAATGCAATCCTTATTTTCCCCATTTACCAACCCTCACCCCTCCCCATAAATAATGACCACTCCCTAAATAGTATATAATAATAATAATAGTAAATTTCAGGCGTACAGGGTAGAAGAAGGAAGGGGGGGGGGACGGGCCCCACTTCTATATTGTTGGGCAAGCTAGGCCAGTCGGGCAAATACTTCACAGTCGGGCAATATTCGCTTCACAGTCGGGCAATATTATTATAAAAATAAATAGGAGAAATTTTATCAAAATTGGGGGAAAATATAGGCTCAGATTCCAGCCGTTGTGCTCTCGCCGCTCGCCCACTTAACGGCTGGGTCAATGAGCTTCGGCATTGTTCTGATTGACCAATCACATTACAGCCCCCCACCAAAAAAAAAATTTGGGAGGCATAAATTTGTATTAATAATGCATAAATTTAACAGAAAGGTAATAAATTAAATATGGCTAAAGCGCATTGCTGAAGCGTTCGAGGACGGCGTTGTGCGAATATGTGCACTTAAAAAGATCTGTTCAACGATATTTGTACGTGAACTACATGGGTTAAAGCGACATTTTTTGGGGAAGAGTAATTCCGACGATTTTTACGACACGAACCGCATTATGATTTACAGAAGTCTCTCTACGTTAATAGTCGCTGGAATGTTTTCGAATCCATTGCATATTTTTATATTGTGTATAAATAATACATCTCATTGAGGATTCTTGGTCATAAAAGGACAAAGAATATTTTGCGTGTGGCTTAGCAAAATTAATAACTTTTCTTTTTTTAGCTTAGTTAGCTAGGTGGCCTAGACGCCTAGTCCTTTGAAACCCTCCCTGTTTCTGCTGATTCAGTTGAACATTTATAATTATATTTAAAGTAAACCTGGATGTGTTTATTATTGGGCTGGTCTGACATATTGCCAGGAAAGTAGAAAAAGTTATTTTGCAAAGTCTTGTGACATATAGTATATTAGTATGTAGGATATTGCAGTATATTTAAAAGGCTTATTTTAATTAATATTACGACATGTTTATATGATCCTGTCAGGTGGGAAACCTTGTCAGGCAGCTAGGATGTCATGTTTATACATGTTCGTGAGTGAGTTCATCAAATATATACATGTATGTTTGAACACGAGTTGATATGATAGTCAGGATCTTGGAAACTGCCTCATCCTGCCTAGCTGGGATTTTATAAACAGGCCCTTTCATGGAGCCCATGGCTAGGTAATAATAGGCTTAGTTAGATCTCCCACAAGCTAGTTTGGGCCATTTGACAATATTTTTTAGACTGGGCAGGTAATTTGTGAACTGAAACTGATATATCTGTGTGCTCATATATGCTAATTGCAGGCAAGCACAATAAATTCAATATTATTTTATATATTGACAATATGATTTACCATGAATACTAATTGAATAAATGTGGGCACATAGTTATTTGAAGGGCAATAAATAAATCCAATTAGTATCATGTGTTTCTTTGTTGTGAAGGGGCAAAGAATGGGACTTGTTGGATAGCCTAAGTAGAGGATTTATGGAATAAAAGTATGCAATGTTTTATAAATTCGGTGAAATATGCATTTAGTCTGTTCAACAAGCTCAAATATGTTTGCTCACAGCGCACAGGCTGAGTTTTGGAAACCTTGTCAGTATGGTATTAAGAAAACGATAGTTGTCATGTCAATGTCTGTTTTTAACGGCTGTTCATATGAAAGCCAGACTGAGAATGACAAAGCATGATAAATTGCTAGTTCTGAAAGATTGAATATTTATTTAAGCTAATAAACAAGGGTTCAGAAAATTTGTTGCAGTAACACTTTAGTTAGAAAATATCAAAATGTTAAACACCAAAATTATCCTGGCATGGGGGATTAAGTTTTCTTGGGGGGAAAGCCGCCAAATTCTTCTTGCATTCCGGCAGAGATGTATTCAGGGATGGATTTACTGGGGGGAGGCACCCTGGCCAGGGGGGGGGTGCTAATTTTCATGATAAAGCAAAAAATTATTAGAGACAAAATGACATACAGTAATTTGAGTAATAACATGATGATAAGCGAAATGTGAACAACAATTACTATTTAAATACAGTAGTCAAGCAGGACTTTGCAGTAGTGAAGCAAGTTGATGGGCGGGTGGCACGCATGACTGACACAACTCGGCACCAGAGCTGCAGAGCATCCCCCTACCAGATCATGCTGGATCTATCCCTGGATGTATTTACTGCCATGGGGATGCACCCCCCTTAACATTGGCAAAGGGAGTGTGTGTGTGTGGGGGGGTATTTCATAATTTTTTTTTTCAATTTGGAAAGGCAATATCCTGTCACCATTACCACAATAATATCCCTCACTGCTGTGTGTAGCTACAAATAAATACGGACTTGGTCAACAGTCGTACACTGAACCATATATGGGTCGATGAGCACACCCGGCCTCCATTTGTACAGACAACTTATACAACACCGAAATAAAGCCAAGAACATTTTAAATTTCAAATATTCTTGCTAGATCAAAAGACTGTTTAACTAAATCTATGAAGGTGCACAGTAAGCTACAGTTCAACATATATCAAACACTAGGTCTTCTATTTTGTAGCTTTGAAGTTTGCAGGCTTCCAGACCATCATAATGATCATATCTTGACAGACTATAGTTTGGTCTATAAAAGACTTAGTTCCTTCACTGTCCCTCGAACAAAATCATAAGGAAAATTTTTAGATATTAATCACAAGGCGTAAAATTGCATTACGTATAACTATAGTCTATAAACAACTCAAATAAATATTAACATTAAATTTATGTTCCTCTTCAAAGAATATTCATTGAAAAACTATTTGTTTGAAATAAGACGTTAATTAGTCAGATTCACCTGCTTTTGTTGGTAGGGTTTATTGTTTCACTAATATTTAGATATATAATATATTCATCGACTCGTGTACATTGCAGTTCCTTTCTTCGTTAAAAACATCCTAGAACTTAATAACATTTTGTCAAATGAACTTAAAAGTTTTCATTTTGTTTTCCTTTACAAAAAAGTTATCGATGAATGCACAAAGTTGTTAAAATTTGCTATTTCCTCTTCGAAACAAAATTGTTCGCTCCTGAAAGCCGCCATTTTACATTGCACAGAAATACATAATTATGCAAAATATATGCATAAATTTAAATATTAACCTTGACGTCACAGACAAGGAATATTAACCATTGACCCAGCCGTTAAGTGGGCGAGTGGCGAGAACACAACGGCTGGAATCTGAGCCTAGAGAAAATATAAATGTTATTTAAAATTATAATACATTCCAAAATTTTTTGTTGTTCCAACAACCCACCCCCCCCCTCCCCTTGGCAGTTTTCACGAAAAAATTTTTTTTGACAAGTCTGGCACAATAGGGAAAAGTTGGGAAAATTTCTTTCCTCCTCCTTGGCTCCATACCCCGCCCCCATAATTTTTTCCTTCCCGTATGCCCATGAGTCAGTATATAACTGTATAAATATGGTTGAAATACAAATATTTACCTCCGCCAGGAGGTTATGTAATCATCTGGGTTTGTATGTGTGTATTGATGTATGTGTGTGTGTATGTGTGTTTGTCTGTGAGCACGATAACTCAAGAAAGACCAAACATATTCATACGTAATTTTTTGAATGCATTTCCCATCGGCTAAGGAAGAGTTGATTAAAATTTGGTTGAATTTGGTTAAAAATTGAACGGGAAATGAACAAAATTTTGTCTTGCTTTTCCCGGTCAAATAAAAAAAAACTTACTGAATGCGTAATTAGGACGTGTGATAATTTATGCACCAGTATACAGGGTATATAAAAGTATACAAACAATGGTATAATCTTTTTAGATTATATACAATTGTAAATCTCACTTATATAAGGGAGGCTGCTCAAAAATCGTGTGCTTTACAAATATATTCTAAGTTCGTAATAATAATAATTGGTCAATAGTTATATATACACGCTGGCAATATTTTAGGTACGTTTTATACGCCCAATTTTGGTGGCGTCGAATGCGATTAAGACAATAGTCAATGGATAATAAAAAGATGATAAACCTCATTAAGGTTCACCCTTTATTATCTATTGTCTTCACGCGACCGAAATTCAATGTAGGCTTACGGAGTTACGCATCGTTGCGTTCAGCAAAGTGCTAAGCCATTCGTTCACACTTTTCATATATTACGCAAGCGCATAGACACATCTGCGTGTTCATTCTTTCTAAGCATGCGAATAAACCGAATGTTCTCCCACAATTGAAATGTTTAAGATTGCGGAATAAAAACTAGCAAAGTAATTGTTCGAATGTGTGCGGGAACGGTGTCGTCAAATACTGTCCATAGTTGTGCCGATCGCGATGATTTTTGATGAGGCACATCTCTCCAATGAGAGGTAATGAGGTACGCTTTTCTCTTCTAAATTTCCATCATCAAGTGTGCAGGGGGGAATTAGAAGACAAAGAAATCTTTGGTTTTCAACTACATTTTCCCTGGAAATTTAGAAGGGAAATTTAGAAGACAAAAGCGTATGCATAGTGTAACATGGCAGTGTTATATCATGTTATTTAATGTATTCAATACTGTATATTCAGTACTGTTATAATTATAAGAGGAAGACCTCAGGTAACCTTCCTCGCATAAGTAAGCAAATACTTAGAGAGATTAAAGAACCACGGGAAACGCCTAGTACCACAAACCACGCAAACAGGACATGGTTTTGTGGTTGATAAACACTGCTAGAACTTGCTTTGACAAACATATTGCGTAGAGGAAATTAGTCATAGTTAGAGATTTCTTCCTCTAAAATTTATTATAAAAGCTGAACACAACCTGAGTACCGGGAGCGGAGCGGAGAGTGAAGTGAGAAGAGCCATTTAGGCTAAAATACTTCATAAGCCAACAAAGGCTGAAGCATATAATCAAAAGGCTAGATAGTTAAGCCTCGTCAAGTAAACTAAAGTACATTGGAATATTGTGGAATTATTAAAGAAGACGGAACACAAAGCATAAAGAATAAAGATTCAAAGTTGTGCTCAGCTCAAACAAATAGAGAGATAAGTTGATATATTAAGAATACTATATTATTATAATATTATAGAGACGCTAATTCATATTGCTGAAAGTAAATAAAAATATATAAAAGGTATAAGGTTTCATGCTATTTGTGTTACGGTAGCGTTAATATAATTTGAACCCGAAGCCTAAAGGTTGAAAATATACCTAATTGGAAAATATATTTGACGCATAAATAACGCACCATAACAATAGGAAATGAGGGAAATACGTGATTAAGGGTTGTAGGTCCCTGGGAATTGAAATCGAATTGCTAATAAATCATGTTGTTGTACTGTTGTAAGTGTCATTTAATAAATGCATACATTTTGCTTTATGCACTCGCGTTTATACACCCTGTAGGCTGTATGGGCCGAGGTAGGCAGTCTCTGAGTGCCCTCTAGTTTGGTTTGTTCCTATCCAATTCATGTTTTGCTGACTGGGAGACAATTTGCTGACTGACTGATGAGTGTTTCACCCGCATACACTCCCTCCCCCTGGCAGAAATAAACAAGTACATAGCAATTTTATATGTACAATAGTTTGGTAGTAGTAATATAGGTACCGTTCGACCCGGATTTTTGGGGCAGCGCGGGGCGGCGTGGGGCGGCGTGGGGCGGCGTGGGGCGGCGTGGGGCGGCGTGGGGCGGCGTGGGGCGGCGCATCATCATTAGGATACGTCATAATTACATGCAATGACGTCATGCGGGTAGGATCAGGCAAGTAATGACGTCACGCGGGCGAGCTGAAACATGATCGGGCGAAACTTGTTGACTACGCATTTTTTAGCGTCCCTCCTCGTGTGTGACGCAATATTTAGGGCTATATACAAGAGAACATGTTGTTGTCTGGAGTTTTATAAGTACAGCTCTAGCATTTTACTGTTATTGTCAAGTGATTCCTTTAATTTAGCTCCTAGAGGAGTAAAAAAATCTGATACTATATGAAATAGCATTAGTGTTATATATCTAAAACTTATATATTCGGGGTATACAGCTATATGTTTTGTTGTTAAGTAATATATAAATACTATCAAGCGTCAAAACGCTGAGAAATAGCATGCGGTAAAAGTTATTATGTATCTACAATTAAACTAATATTTAAACCCCGGTCTGCCATATGAGGTCTATATACGAGAGAATATGTTGCTGTTTAGAGTTATATAAACACATGGAAATTAGAGGTTATGATATATAATTGTCAAGGGATTTCTATATTTTAGTGGTAGTTTTTTAAAGTACTAAAACTCGGATAAGGTTAATAAATTTAAGTTATATTAAAGCACACCGGTTGCTATGTGTTGTTAGGGTGAAACTAATTAAAGGATTAACTTTTATCAGTGATTTGCATTTTTCTACTGTGTGGATAAATACGGGTAGATTAGGATATTCATTGCGCGGGCGTCGCGGGTTATCCGTGCGGGAAGAGAGAAAGCGATTTAGACAAGACAGGAGCGCTTTGCAGCCAAAAGTTGAAAGACTTTGTATGGAATCCTTATTTGTTGCTAAGTCATTAGCGACGCTTGCGTGCATGCATATATTAACGTACAACATATTTGTACACTAATCAGGTGGGCGGATCGCGCGGGCGGAAAGAGCGGGCTTTGCCGGCAAAAATTTACACAATATTTCAGTTTTTAAATTTATTTCTTCAAAACGTTTTACAAAATTATGTTTCTAATATATATCGTCACTTGTTTCACGGGTTTCGCTGTCAGATTCTTCATCATAGCTGCTTTCATCATCGTGGCTGCTTTCATCTTCCGTAATCCATTTGGTATATCTTGGGACTGTTATATGAGAACACAGTTTTAATAAAAGTGATAAATTACTTCGTTGGCCCTGCCTTCTCTTGCTTCCGCGCCCTGCTTGTTGTAGTAGGGCTTTTGCTCCATTTTCTGCAAAGTCTTTAAAAACGTCACCTCCGTGAGTCTTTACAGATTCTTTTACATTTTTTCCTTGGAGTACATCTTGAGCGACATCTGTGGCTGCTTGCAATGCTCTTTTGCCAACAACTTTAGCGCCTTGTTTGAACAGAGGGATAGCATATCTCGCAAGGCTCTTGAAAATACTTCCGATCCCGTATCCTCTTTGAAAACGTGCACCATTAAACCCAGCGATGTTTCCGCCACGCTGTTGTCTCAAGAAATGGTCTCTCAGTAGTTTTTCGTCTACAACAAGTGTACCTCTCGGCATGTTGATGTGTTCAGTTCAACTTCACGCAGTCAACTAATCAAATATCACTTTGGTCGCCTATTTTATGGTTAAAGGACTGCCTTTTATCCGTTCTGATATCTATAATTTCGCCTCGACGACAATGTGGGCAGCTGGTGATTACATGTGTAAAATCTCCTTTGGATAAAAATCTGTCCATGTGCATACGGGGCACGTACTCAAATGGGAGATGTATATATCTTTGTTACAACTGTTACAAGTTGCGTCAGCATCAGATTGTGTATACTGACGGGACCACTTGTGGGCTAACACAGAAAGGACATGTCCATTTAAGATTAGGCTTTTATCAATTTCCAATTCTGCAAGACCTTTTATAAAAATACTCAATCCAGTTGGTTCGGGAATATCTGGATGATAAGGCGTCACGCAATATTTCAGAAGGTCTACAATGTCAGTGCCTCGTATATTATGTCCTCTGTAAACGATTTCTCCTTTTCCATTCCAAGTCAAAATCCCCGTAGAGGTTAAAATAGAATGAAGGATTTCTTCGGCTTCGTGTTCATCATCAACGTCAAGATATTTGAGAATGTCTTCAAGTCTCCACTGTTCAGGAGATGATCGTTTGTCGCTATCCATGATTGGAATGAGGAGATGTCCTTCATACTTTTTTTTTTATATAAATTCTGCTAGGCCTTCTAAAAGTGGTCCGAGTACCAATCCCAGAAAGCCGCTTCCACGCTGAACAAGAATTTCCTTTTTCGTCTTAAAATTTCTATCTCTGTCTGCTAAATCAGCTAGATCTTATTCGAAAGGTCTGAGTTTGTCCTTTGTTTCTTTAGAGTATGTGAAATTTTCTATACAATGACACAAGCATCGAATTTACTCAGCTGATGTAGAATTAAGAAGAGCATGCTGTTGAGTTGGATGAGAAGTACATAATAGTTCTACAAATGGTCTGTGTTTCATATAGCTGCTAGTCATCTCTGTTCGGCGGTCAGCAACGGAATGAAGATTTAGTTGGAAATAACACATAATAAAGGATCGGCTCGCCCTCTATAGATTAGGTCTAGACTACTATAGTCTTTCATAGTCAGGCTGCTATTGCTCATAGTCAGGACTATAGTCTTTCATAGTCAGGACTACAGTCTTTCATAGTCTTTACTATAGTCTTTCATAGTCTTTACTATAGTCTTTCATGGTCAGGACTATAGTCTTTCATAGTTAGGACTATAGTCTTTCATAGTCTAGGACTATAGTCTTTCATAGTCTTTACTATAGTCTTTCATAGTCAGGACTATAGTCTTTCACAGTCTTTACTATAGTCTTTCATAGTCAGGACTATAGTCTTTCATAGTCAGGACTATAGTCTTTCATAGTGTTTACTATAGTCTTTCATAGTCAGGACTATAGTCTTTCACAGTCTTTACTATAGTCTTTCATAGTCAGGACTATAGTCTTTCATAGTCAGGACTATAGTCTTTCATAGTCTTTACTATAGTCTTTCATAGTCAGGACTATAGTCTTTCATAGTCAGGACTATGGTCTTTCATAGTCAGGACTATAGTCTTCCATAGTCTTTACAATAGTCTTCATAGACGCGACAATAACCAACGGGATAAATACACCTCTTCACTCTTGCTTTAAATCATTTTACACTGACTCTTGAGAAGTAAACATGTCTTATGAATGCGACATCTGCGGTAAAACGTTTGCAAATGCGAGTAATCTCCTTCGCCACAAGAAGGTTTTCCATGCATATGGATCTCGTAATCTTGGGCAGCAAACTCTCACAGTGAATGGGGTTACAGTCATGCAGCATCCCTTTACATGCATCGTTGCAGGATGTACCCAAAGCGGCAAAACCGTATGGGTGAAATCTCTCTTGGAGAATGCTCAAACGACTATAAGTCCTACTCCTTAACGTATCATTTGGTGTTATGGTCAATGGCAACCGTCCTATTTTGATATGATGAGTATAATGCCTGGAATCGAGTTTAATGAAGGCATCCCCGACGATATCGACAATGCGGATTACTTGGACGTATCGCAACGAAATTTGATCGTATTGGATGATCTTATGGCTCAATCTGGCAAAGATAAACGTATTTCCGATCTTTTTACGAAAGGAAGTCATCATCGAAATTTGTCTGTCATCTATATTGTCCAAAATATATTTCATCACGGCAAAGAAATGAGAAATATTAGTCTAAACGCGCATTATATCGTATTGTTCAAGTCACCAAGAGATAAACAACAAATTTCTATACTTGCAAGGCAAATAAATCCCGGCAAAGTACAGGAGTTTATGAGGAGTTATGAAGATGCTACAAGCCGGCCTCACGGATATTTGATGTTGGATTTAAAGCCGACAACGAGTGACCAAGATCGACTCAAGACAAACGTACTTCCCGGCGAGATTGCAAAGTTTATACAAAAACAGTCGTATCGTCAACCACCACTTGCAAACGCAATGTATGATGCCGAACAGAGAATGACAGAAATCATGGATGCACCACAGCTTAGCGCAGTGGAAAAAAGCAAATTATACTCTGATCAACTAAATAGGTTTTTGACATTCAAAAATAAGATGGATATTCCGACTCAAGCTCCTGTTCAGACAACTCCTTTCGTGCCTGCAGAGATGCCACAACCCAATGAATCAGTCGACATAGCACCACCAGTGCCTGCTACACCTAAACCTAATTTCCTTACACCACCACCAACAGAAGAGGAACGGCCAAAACTCAAGCGTAACTTTTTCCACAATTGGGTAGACTCTACAAATTGGAGGCCCCAAGATTTGGCAATGCTGACCCCTGAACAAAGAGAAGGTTACGAACAAAGATTACTTCGCGAGAGGCCGAAATATATTCCAATGAAGAATGAAGATGTTGCAATGTTATCCCCAGAAGATAGACAAGAATATGAAAACTCTTTAAAAATAACAAAAACTCCTAGACGTTATGCTCTTAGAAGTAGACCGTACTAAATTTTGTAAAACGTTTTGAAGAAATAAATTTAAAAACTGAAATATTGTGTAAATTTTTGCCGGCAAAGCCCGC